GGGCACTCCAAGCCAGGACTGCTTTGCAAGTGGGGAACCCTTGAGAATTGTCTGTCTGGGGTGGGGGTCGGGTCCCTTTAAGCACAGCCCTCAGCTAGCCTGAGACAGCAGCTCCACGCTCTAAGTCCTAATCTGATGCCCTGCCGGCACTGCTTCCGGTCAGCCTTAACCTCGGTTCAGGGTCCACTCAGTGTGGACATGCTAGTTCGAATTAGCAAAACGCTAATTCTAACTAGTTTTTAAGTCTAGATGCGCTAATTCGAATTAGCTTAGTTCAAATTAACTAATTCGAACTAAGTTAGTTCGAATTAGTGCTGTAGTGTAGACATACCCAGGTGTAGTACCTAATCAGACTAGACTTCAAGTTGACTGTGTCCCTTTAACTTCTTCCTACTGAAATTCTGGCTCCAGTAAAGCCAAATGAAAAAATTCTGGATGACTTCACTGGAAAAAAGATTTCACACTACAGCTTTTGGCAAACTGATCAGCTGAACTGACAAGTATTGACCAAGCTAGAAGAGATCAGTATTTCCTGCCATAAAATGAGCAGTGCTCAGCTAGATCTTGGTACTGAGAAAGGAAAAACTACGGTACTAGGATATGAAGAATGCTAAAAGAGTTTATGTAATGTTAAATGGAGTCACTGGAAAAATAACTTCAGTGTTTGTAACAGAGCTACTGCTACAGGTTAAAACTCTCTTAACCAGGATTCTCTGGTCCAGCAACATCCATGGTCCAGCATGGATGTTGCAGGTAGGTATGTAATCAACTAGTTGACTATCCAATAAGCATATGCTTAGCGGCAGCAAGGGCAGGGGGATGCGAGCAGGAGCCGATGCTGGGAGGAGCTGGCTTAAAAGCCGGTTCCTCCCCAGCACTATCTCCATGGCAGGAGGGGCGGGGGGAGGGGAGAGATGACGACGACGACACGATGACAGCGGGGAACTGGCAGCACTTCCGCCTTTGGAATGTAGCAAGAGCAGGGCTCTTGATGCACTTCAAAAGCAGAAGCACCATGGGGCCAGCGGGGGACTCAAGCAGTCTCTGGCTGGCCCTGTGCTCCCTGCTCTGGAAATGTACAAGAGCCCAGGGGGTTCTATTAAATTCCTGCAAATTCCATCGACTATTCAATTTGTTGATTAATCTAAATTTGACATCCCTAGTTGCAGGACCTGAGAGTCCTGGTGGAGGGCCAGCACTAAGGATCCCTGTGGGGCAAGCAGGGCAGTGGGCTGGCTGCAGGTGGCTGATGGGGGGGGGGGGG